TTAAAATGGCTCAGGATTTCATTTTACTTGGATCCACAGTGAACCTTTCTGGAAAGAACTGTCAAGAACTCCAATGACAGATCTGCACTGGGAAAATGTGCTACACGAGACCTCTTTCAAGCGTCAAAGAGCGGAGATGGCACTTTGAGACTAAAGCGTGCCGGATTCGAGCCGTGGTACTTCCACTGGCCTCACATGTCTGTGAAAGTCCGACACTGAGAAGAATTGATGCGTTTGCATTCTGATGTTGTCGAAGAATACTTAAAGTACCCGGAAGACCAGAAAGGCAAACAAATCTATCTAGAAAGAAATACAGCCAGAATGTTCCTTAGAAGTGGGGCTGGGGAGACTTCATCTGGCGTCCTTTGGACACAGTATCGAGAGAGACCGGTCCCTGCAACAGGGCATCACGCTTGGTGAAGCGGAGGGGCAGGAAAAAAGAGGAAAAACCCTTGATGAGATGGATCGGCACGGTGGTTGTAACTGGGCTCAAACACAGGGACCATGGCTGAGGGCTGTGCAGGTCTGGGCAGTGTTTTGCTCTGTTGGGCAAAGGGTCGCTCTGAATTGGAACCAACTCACGGGCACTTAGCAACAACAATCTCAGCCCTGGCCATGCTCCGGGACCGTCAAAGGCAAACAGGACAGGGAGGCACAGGGCAAACTGGCTAGGTCTAGGAGTGTTTCGGGGGGGTTGAAGAGAGTCCTTCCTTGGGGCTCCCTGATTTTTTTTTCTCTTCGGATTTTGAAATCCCAAAAATGGCATTTGACCCTCCCTTCCCTTCCCCCCAACTCTGGAAGATCTGCCGCTGCAGTCAGGGGAGCACAGCTGTGCCGGGAGGCTGCAGTGTGCAGGCGAGGCTGTGGCCCAGGAGCCCATGCTGGAGTCTCCGCATCCCCAGCTGTGTTGGGGTCACAGTCCGTGCCCTGGGGGAGCTCATTTCTCTTTCTCAGACTCAACTTCTTTCTCTGTGAAATGGACATCAAACTGACCTTGTGGGGATTAAAAGAGGAAGTCTCAATGAGAAGGCCACGTGTCACTATGTCTGGGTGGGCTCTGAGACCCGCTTCCACTCTACAGTGCTGAACCTGAGCAGAGCTTCACTCTTACCCTCTAGCGCCTTCGGGCCCATTTCCAGCCAGGCTAAAACCACTTGCTTTGTTTGGGGGCCCCTCTTCCACCTCCTTCTCCCAGGTCCCCCAAGCGCAGGGACTGTGGCTGATGCATCCCATGGCTGGTCAGCTCCTGTCTGGGTGAGGCTGTGCTCTGAGCAGGAGAGCACCGGGCCCCCACTGCAGTGGAGAGAGAGCCAGGTGGGGCTCCTTTGACCTCCCACAGAGTGTTTTAAAATCCTTTTCCATGGAGCTTTTGAAAAAATGATGATCAAGTAAAAGCAGCAATTGCATCTGCTCCATTAGCAAGTGAGGTAGAAGCGGCCTCGCCTGCTTAGGGCTGTCTCTGCTGGACTGGCTGGCCAACCCCAGAAGCCAAGACTAGAGGGGCTCAGGCCTGAGGGTCCAGATCTGCCCAGGCAGAGCTGAGAACTGGGGAAGCTGCAGGACAAGGTGGGTGAGTTTGGCTCGGGGGAGCCCAGGGCGGAAGAGAGACCAGGCCCAGCCAAGATACAGTTCTGGGTTCTCTCACAGTACAGGTCCCAGAAGGGGTGGCATGGGGCCCTGCTTGGCATTGGTCCCCACACTGGGAGTTTGTGGGCCCTGGGGTGAGGGGAGTAACAGAGGTGGGGCCTTGGGGCACCGTGTCAGTGCAGGGGAGCTGACCTGGGGAGGCTGAAATCTGCAGGGCGTGGCTACAGGGGTCTGAGGCCCTGCTCTGAGTGGCCAGCTGGTCAGTGCCCAGCCCAGCTCTGAGCTGGATAACCAACCGTTCAGGACCCACATGAGCCTCTGGTCCTGCTGGACATTGTCACAGATGCATGTGGCCGGTCTTGAGACTGGGGCTTGTCTGGGAGGAGGGTGACAGAATCAATCCAGCCTTGCTTCTACTATGAGGAAAGGTCCTGAAGCCAGGCTAAGACTTAGTGTTTCCTTTGGCTGTTGTTTCTCCACCTGACTGCAGTTTCTAGGATTTGACTCTGCCCTCATTTGCAGACTGGGCATGGAGGGGTTAACTCATCTCCTGACTCTCACAGGTGCAGGGAGAACCTCCTGAGCACCCTGTGAGGTCCCTTTAAGAATGCATATCCGGATCCCTCCTGTGGGGCTGCCCTGGACAGGATGGGGGGGTCAGGACAGAGTGGCTCCCATCAGCCTGAGGCTTGGGGGTGGGGGTGGGGGAATGCTTGGGGAAGGAAGTGGGAGTCAAGCCATCCTTGGTGCTGTCCTCTAGGTCCAGCGATGGAGAGGTGGCCCCCAGTGTCGTGCGGGTTTGCCTTCCCTCTCTGCTGGGGGAGGGGAAGTTGCTAACACCTGTGCTGTGCACTTGACCCTAATTCAAGGTGACCCCTTACGAGTCAGAGTAGAACTGAGCTCCATTGGGTTCTCTGTGGCTGGCTTCTCAGAATTAGATGGCCAGGTCTGTCCACCTTGAGAGGACTGAACGCTCAGCCTTTCAGTTAGTAGCGGAGAGTGTCACCAGGGACTCCCCATAAGTCCAAATGAGAGGGGAGGGAGGGAGGGGGTCAGAGGACTGCTCTTTCTCGGGAGATTACTCCAACAGGCAGAATAAGAGTCCTGTAAGCCCGGCCTCTGCAGGCCACTGGTTGTTGAAGGTTTGTGGGCCCATCTGTGCTCAGAGGGGCAGGTCTGACTTCTTAAAGTAGCTCAGCTTGTAACAGCCCTGTCGTTTCCACACACACACACACCCCACACCCCTGACCTGGACCACAGAGCCAAGGGCCAAGGAGGGGCAACAAAAGCCACCGATAAGCTTTCCAGGTGTCACAGCAGCGTGGGGCCAACTGGCCAGGCATCTGGTGGCATTTCCTCTATCTAGAATGTCCTTTGTCCTCATGGTCACCCGATTCCAGTTCACCCTGCGACAGTCCCTTGGGCATATCCTTGTCCTTCAATCTTTCATTATTAAACCAGGATGGCTTTCTGGGTGTGGCCTTGTCCACAGGAACGTATGAGAGCTGTGGACTTGTCTCAATTCTAAATAGGCCACGATTTTGGAATCGTGTGATATAGCTCATTGCAGTTTAATCTGCCTTTCTTTGTTACGATGAAGCACTTAGGGTTGGGGGGTCTGTGTGTCCGTTGGTGAGTGATGTTGCTTCGTTGGTGAATGTCTTGCTCAAGTCTCTCACCTTTCTTCCTGCGGAGTGCCTGCTTGGGTTCCAGCTCCCTCTCTTTAAAGGTAGGACGCCTGGTGGCATCCTGGCTGTGCATTGGGGCACTATCCATAAGGTCAGCAGTTTGAAAACACCCGTGGGAGAAAGACGGGCTTCCTACTCCCGTAAAGAGTTATATAGTCTGGGAAACCCGCAGGGGCAGTTCTACCCGGTTCTACACGGGAGCTACATGGGTGCTAAGAGTCATCGACTCAACGGCAGTGCGTTTGGTTTTTCTATGTAGAGGCATTGCCCCTTTGTCTCTCATACATGTTGCAAGAATTTGTATAGTTCATGGATATTTTCAACCACGTGTGTGGGCGCACGCGCTGAGGTTTTGTTTTATGCACGCAGACCTGTTAGTGTTTTCCTTTTATGATCTCTGCCTTTCCTGTGGAACCAAGAGACGCCCTCTCCACCACAGGACGATGGGAGCATCCGTGCGTCGGTCCTGCACATTCTTTTAGCTCTCGCTTCTATCTGGAATTGATTACGTGTAACCGACATCAAGTTCCCCGTGAAATGACAATGATTAATAGACCAATTAATTAATTCATTAACCGGGGGTGGGGTGGGTGGGGTTGGTGAGGAGGCCGTCTGGGGGAAAGGGATGGGAAAGGGAATGGAGCAAGGTCTGAAAGAGAAGGGACGGCGGGCAGGGGCAGGGCGGGGCAGGCGGGCAGGAGGAGGCTCTGCATGTGAAGGGTGGGAGGCTCCATCAGTGGCTGACACAAGAGGAGGGGTTAGGGAGCAGGTGGGGAGTGGGCTGTGAGCCAGGAGACTGAGTCTCGGTGACCTCGGGGTAGTGGGGGGGCGGGTGGTGAGCACAGAGTGGGAGGGAGGGCATCAGGAGAAACTCCAGAGGCAGGTGTGAGCCAGGTGGCAGTTCTCAGAGAGAGGGGGCTTTATGAGTTCACAGGTGTGCACCTGCGCAAGATTGTGATTGGAGTCCACCCCCAGCTTTGGGCCCAGTGGGACATGGAAGAATATTCTGAAAGACAGGAGCCAAGGCAGGTGGTCAGTGGAAGGACCCTGCTGAAAGGAGGGGAAGGCCTAAGGAAGTCTGTTTACCACAGGCCGGACTGTCTAGAAGCAGGGAGCAAGGAAAGATTCGAGAGGGAGGGGTCTGTCTGCTGGCAGGAGAACCAGCCCCTTGGCGGAGAGGGATGGAGTTCAGGAAAGGTGAACTGTCCCCGCTGGTTGGAGCATCGCAATCTACACAGCAGCCTGACCTGTGTCAGGAGCCCCGGGGCAGCAGGTTACCCTCTGGGCTGCTACTTGGCGGGTCAACCGTGGGAGCCTCCCAACCACTCTGGGTGAGGCTGTTCACTTCTCTAGAGTGAGCATGATGGGGCAGTTCTCTGTTCTGTAGGGCCACCGTGCGTCTGAACAAACTGGACTCATGGTGGGCTTCTCACCTCTGTGTTGGCATATGAGCCTCCCTCTGGGCCTCCAGAGCAGAGAGAGGGTGAAGGGGTGGTGGTGCAGATTCAGAGTCCTAAGGTGCCTGTCAGAAGCCCCAGTGCCCAGCATGATGCAGGTGCCCTGCCCGCATCAGCGTTCATTGCTCAAGGATAATAGCAAGCACAGATGCACTGAGCGGTCTCGGCTGCAGCTGGCACAGAGGACAAGCAGGGCCAGCCAGTGCCTCATGGTCTCCTCTCCCTTCTCTCCACAGGCCGGGAGGGCAGGCTGTCCGTCCTGCTGACCATGAATGGAATGGCCAACGTGCACTCTGCCGGCCGCCCCCACTATGCCTCCTCCATCCCTGTGCCCCGAGCCTCTTCCCAGAACAGGATCCATACTCCGGGTGCTTCTCCCCAGCTGCGGCCGCGCCAGGCTGGCCTGGCCCTGAGCCCCCAGCGAGCAGCCTCCCCGCGACTGGGCAAGGCTGCGGGCGCCTCCAGAAACTCCTCTCCTCGGGCCTCTCGGGGCAGAGGCTCCCCGAAGGCTGCTGGGTTGGTGCGGGAGTCCACCGAGGGGGGTGAAGGCTTCTCCGGTTCCCCCTGGAGCAGCCCCAGGGTAACCCCCGAAGCATCCCTCCCTAGCCGGGCAGGGCCCAGAAAAGCTGGGGAGACACAGGGCGCACAGGGCAAGAAGAAGGCCCCGGAAGGAGTTCTGCCCCGCCAGACCCGGGGCCGGAGCCCGTCCCGGACAAGCGCCCACGGAGAAACTCAAATACCAGCAGCCCCTGGAGGCCGAAAGCCTCCTAGCTGCCCAGGAAAAGACCTAAGGGATACAAGCTACAGAACTTCTGGGATCCCTCGGCCTTTGGAGCATGAGGAGGGGGCCGCTTCAGGGGTTTCTTCTCCAGTCAGCAGCCCAGTGCAGAGCCAACGCACCTCCCCGACACCAGGGAGCATCAGCTTCTCTTCTGCCCACCAGCAGAGCCAGCCAGTCACGGCCACAGTGGCCCCCTTCCAGTACAGGTGAGAATGGGAGCAGAGCTGGGCCTCAGGGGCCTTGATGATCAGGAAGGTGGGTAGGGGGCCTGGGTGAGGGAGACCAGAGGGTCCCAGGGTGGAGCAGAAGCCCGGCAGATAAAGCCTGCTTCAGCTGAGGTTTAGGAGAGCTGAGACGGGATTGGGAGCATAAGGGGTGGGCTGGGGCTGCATCCACACTCTGGGCACTCCACCACAAGCAGAGGGGCAAACGGAGGGCACCTACGATTCCTGCTCAGGGGCAGGAGCCTGGGCACGGAGACACATGGAGGGCCCTGCTGCAGCTGCTCGCTGGGCAAGGATGAAGCAGGTGGTTAAGGTACTGTGGGTCTTTGCGTAGAGAAGGAGAGGGAGGGAGGCAGGACATCTGGGACATTTACCACGCCTGTGAGTTAGGCCACTGCTCCATTGTCCTGGGTACCGCAGTTCACGGCGAGTAACATCCTAAATGTTCTTCTCAAACTCCAAACCAAACTCATGGAGTCCACACTGTCTCAGAGCGACACCAGCTGTGGGTCCCGAGACTGGAACTGTTGACAGAGTAGAAAGCCCAGTCTTTCTCCCTCAGAGCCGCTGGTGGTTTCAAACCACCAACCACGTGGCTCACTCAATGTGCAACCACGACACCGCCAGAGCTGTCAATAGTGCTTCTTACACAGACCCACAGCGGTTGTCACCATGGGTCCTGGTGGTGTCGGCGGGGCCAGTGTTCATTCCAACACAGTGCACAAGCTCCTTGCCCCAGCCTTCTTTCTCAGAGATGGGGAAGTGTGACTGGAGAAACGAGGCTTTCTTACGAAAAAGGTAACTCTTCACCCAAATGACCGCATTGAGTAACAGCATTTCGACGACGAATATGATGACGCCGCTCAAGAAGTGCCCACGTGCAGGTGAAGTACCTTCCTGACCAGACGGCAGTCTGGAGGTTGTCGCTGTGCTGGGTTTCTACGGCAACGCAGAGTGGCGCCAGCCCTGACTGTCTGGAGGTAGAAATGCTTGTGCCCGCCCCTGGGGACGCTGGGGTCTCAGGCGTCAGAGCGACCGAGGAGGGAAGAATAACGAAGCATTGGGAGTTCTGTCTTTGCTGGAGCCTGCAGTGGGACTTGATCTCCAACACTCCCAGGGCAGTCTTACACTCCAGAAGTTTGGCGTTCAGGACTGGGAAAGTAGAAGTCCCTCTATCTTCTGCCTGAGCCAAGGCCTCATTTCAGTGTTCATACCCTTAACAAACGCTACCTTGTAAAAGGGGACACACACACACACACACACACACACACACACACACAGAAAGGCTGACGGTTTGGTGAGGGTTCCCAAAAAAGGTGTTATAAGAATGATTAAAAGAGATGACAAAGTTTGCTTTGGAAAGGGCAGGCTTTGGGGGTGCCTGAGAGCTGTTTTCAAATATGTGAAGGGTTGTCATGTGGTGAGATGGATTAGATTTACTTGGGGCAGCTCCAAAAAACTGAGTCAGCAACATAGTGGTTAGAGGCTGTTTGAGGCAGTTTGAGGGATGACAGGAAGACCTTTCCAACAACTAGAGAGGCTTCCCAATGAGGTGGAAGGCAGTGAGCTCTCCATTATGGGAAGAATTCTAACTGACTTCATGACCAAACGAAGTTTGGGTGACTGCTGCCGCTGAAGCACCCTTTGGGCTGACTGTGCTGCCCAGAGGAGGTCTCCACGCTCCTTTCTCAAAAGGGCTGCTCCCTCCGTCCCTGGTGATCTTCTCAGCTTGGATGGGGGCAGAGGAGCGAACTCAAGGCAGCAGGAACACCTGGCAGGTCCTCCTGGGTCTGGCCCTTTCCCAATTAGCTCACCACCTCCCTGGCAACGCTGACTCTCTGCTCCTACCTGGTTCCCTTCCTTTTGAATTCATCCTTGGGCTCGGCGTCCATCCGTTTCAGATGTTACAGGAGCTCGCCTACAAGTCCCCTGGCCGATTAGACCCTGGCGTTTTCCAGAGAGGTCAGGACATCTCAGTGCAGCTTGACCCTAACAGGCTAACACTTCCGGCCTGTTTGCATTTTAAGCAGCAGGGGAGATATGTCACCCCAGCCCAGCCCAACCAGGGGTCCTCTTCACCCTACCTCCTAGGCCCTGGCTGGAGTAAGGTCGGGTCATAGATCAAGACCATAAGTTAGGACCGAGGACACCTGGATACCAGAGACGAGACACTGCAGGCAGATGAGTGGGAGCCCAGCACCCCCGAGCTGCTGCCAAAGGGTGGCTCTGCCAGGGGCCAGGCTGTGCCACCCTGCCAAGCCTCCAAGCCAAGGAGGTCACATCTGCTCCCTGGAAGCCACAGACATCCTGTGTTCGTGGCAGTCTGCCCCCTCCCTGGCACCGTGGCTTTCCACAAAGGCTCAGATGAACCAGAGGCCGAGGTTACCACGCCTCTCTCTCACCCCAGTGAAGCCCAGCCCGGCCTCTCGTCTGACCTGCCCACCCTGCCCTGTAGACACCCTGGCTCACAGCACCCAGAAAGCCACTGCTCCCACCCAGCCCATCCATCCTCAGCTCCATTCCCTATGGGAAAGGCCCACAGCGGCTTCTCCGAGGCCATGGCTACTCTTTACCAAGCACCCCGAGCTTTCTGTGGGCCCGCCTTGGTGGGACTTCAGGAAAGAAGGCAGGGCTTGGTGTCCCCAGCATGGTACTCTCGGGCTTGGTCTCTCTCAGATGTCTGGCACCAATGCTGCCATCCTGGCATGGGGTCCGAGGAAGTTAGGTGGGCCATGAGGCCTGGGGAGGTGGGCGTCCCAGCAGATCCACCTCACTGGGGAAGGCTTCTTGCTGGCGCAGCAGGGGTAGACATGCCGAGCTGACTGTGGCTGGAGAGAATGGTGCCCCGGGGAGTGGCGTGTGGCTCATGCAACATCACTCCTTCTTGCATCACCATAACCATGGCAATGGTCCCACAGCCAACTACTCCTGCCTCTCCATGGTGGGCTGCTAGCACAAAGGCTGGTGGCCTGAATGAACTGCGCAGCTCCCTGGAAGAAAGGTCTGGTGAAGATGCAAACCCAGAGCTCGCAGGTCAATGCCAGCTTGTAGCAACCCTATGGGACACAGCGGAAGCCCCCGAGGGCTCTCCCTGCTCTGCTCTTCACGGGAGCACACTGCCACTCACTTTGATTTCCTGTGTCCTCTGCCTCTCTGGTACTCAGGGACAGTTCATTGACAGACGTCCCGGGTGAGTCTCCATCTCAGGAATGCGGCTCAGATGCCAGGCTCCTCTCCTGCTTCCCCCAAGCACACCCAGCTGAGGGGCCCACAAATCCCCCACGAGCTCTGGCCTGCCTCAGTGGCTTACAAAGAGCTTTGTGGGCCCAGCAATCACATCATATGACTACAGCTTGTCAGGCTGCCCCAGCCTTGGCGGCCATCTGTGCCACAGAGAGGGCAAGCCGTTTGCTCTGGGTTCCACAGCAAGTCGATGGCCGAGCCCGGGCTCAGGGTGCCAGCCACCTCCATTGGTGCTGAGAAAAGCTTGAGAGAAGGAAAGACCCATCTCAGGAGCCCAGGAGCCTGGCAGGGTCTCCTGGCCCTGCCCAGCCCTTCCCAGGACCTGCCGCCCATCTCCCCTCCTGCTGCATGGTTTCCCCTCCCCCTGGCCAAGCTGCCAAAGGGTCCATTTAGCTGGAGACAGCGGGCGGACGGGTGGGCGGGCCAGCCCCACAGCCCAGAGTGATTGCCTGTAATAAAAGCTCCCACAGCCTTTGTTCCTGGGACCAATTGCATGGTTGGGGTTGTGCTCAGAGGCCTGTGTGCAGTTGGGAGCTGGTGCCCGGAGACCTCACCCTTCCTTTCAGCTGCCACCGCTGGTCCAGCCAGGACCTTGGCCTCCAGGGGCCACTGTGACCCCAGTTGAACATTCCCCTTCTTCCTTCTTGACCTCCTGAGCTGGGGACTCGCCAGGGGAGCTGGTGGACCTGCCTCCTGAGCTACCAGGAATCGTGATCTCAGCTGCCTGGGGCCTCTTCCCTGTGTATGCTCACTCTGTGGGAGTCAGGGTGAGGGCTGGGGGGTTAGGGTGGGGGGTAAGGGGCGGGGTGGGGGGGGCGGGCTCAGGGCAAGACAAAGACTTGGGGGCCTGAAGCAACTGCAGGATCCTTCAGTGGGTGATGCCTGTTCCCGGGAATGGGCAGGACATGGAGGATTCCCTGGCACCAGGCATGTCATGCCCCGACCCAACTGCCCACAGCAACTGGCTGGGGCTCACACATGTGCGCACACCTGTCAGGGCACCAGCAGAGAGCAGGCCCAGCCCACAGAGGGGCTTGCAGACCCATGGAGAGGCGCAGGAGCCATGACCCGCAGCCACGAGTGAGTGACTGCTCTTTCTCTGTCCACAGGTTGCAGGCAGACCAGGCGCCTGGTCCCCTTCCCCAGAGCAGCAGGAGCCTGGGGGACTCCTCCAGCCCCACTGGTGGGATTGAAGAGAGCTGGTCCTGCATGGGTAAGTGTTCTCCGGGAAAGCCATCTCCACTCAAACTTCCTGACTGCCCACGGCAGGAGGACGTGGCCCCAGTCACCTGGGCCCGACTCTTGACAGTGAGACATCACCCTGGGAATCACACCTTGTGTTTGTGTCATAGTTCGCTCCCCTCAGGGATGCTTTGACAAATCCTGGAGCAGCTCGGGGCCAGGACAGGGAAAAGGCAAGTGGGAAGCAGGCTTAACTGACACGCAGGTTGTGGGCGTTACTGAGGTCCTGGCTAGAGGACAGCAGGCTGGGAAAGTGGAAACCAGGTGACGAAGCTGTGGGCATCATCCCGGGACCTGAAAACGAAGGAGGCAGCCCAGAGGCCTGCTGGTCTGGGACCACCTTCCACAGGCTCCTCCCTGGGGGAGCGGATAACGGAACCCCAGGAACCCAAAGACGCCCAGAAACTCATAAAGTGAGATTCCTTAAGGGCATAAGTGCTGCCTTATTCCCAGGTATTTACATCCTCAGTCCTGTCTCTGGTCTGGACGGCTGAAGGTGTTCATTTGGTGTCTCTGCGTGCGTGCGTGCATGAGTAAGTGAGGGCCTGTGTACCATGGGCCAGGTCCTAAGTAAGTCCCACACGAACCCCTCCGCAGGGCTTAGGGATGGACGCTGAATTTCTAGAAACATGACACCTCGAGACCAAACACCTAGAAAGTAGTTGCCTCCACGGCAAAGGTGGATGGTGTTCCAGGCTGCAGAGCACCGGCTCTGCCTATAGGACTAAGGGACGCTTCCCCCAAGAAGGCCACCGACTTACTTTTGGCAAACCTGAGACTGCCCATAGGGTTTGTCTATAGCTTCGTGGCAATGTCCTCCTCCAGGGGCACAGCTGGGCTTGGAACTCAGCCTGATGCTGATTTCACTTTGACACCTGGGCGTGTGCTGTGTCTGCCTGTTGCCCTTCATCCCCGGACCTGGGAGCCCTCTCGGGGCCTGGTCTACAGCGTCGGCCCTGGAGCCACCTTGACCTTGTCACCAGTGCAGCCCCCCTCACTGGCCCGTGGAAAGCCTCGGAGGGGGCACGGGGTGGAGGACGGGTATTTAACAAGCCTTCTCCTCCCACCATAAGCATGTCCAGGGGGCCCAGGACATGGCACGGGACAAAAGGAAACCAAATTTCACTGGCACCGAAAACCCATCCAAATTAGAATGTGGTCACCAGGAAACCATGTGGGCTCTATTTTTACATTTGCAGCTTTGTTAGTGTAATGGTTTCCTTATGTGTGTACCGCATTGTTTGAGCCTAATGATCTCCGCCTACCCCAGCACTCGTTCGTAATTATCATCCGAGGAGCTGGTGAGAGGCCTTTCACTTTTCGGTCCACGGCAGGCCGGAGTCAGAGCCGTCCCTCACAGGAGGGCTAGAAGACCCCTGCTCACCAGATGGATGTATCCGAAAATGTCTGTAGATCACAGGTTGGGTTACCCTGCGGGGCAGAGAACCCGAGAGCCCAAACAGATGGCTGTACCTAGGAGACCCAGAAATGCCCGCCCTGCCCCCACTGCTCCTGGGGAAGAGGAGCAAGGTTCACCCGCTGCCTTTGCGCCCCTGCTAGCTCGTTGTCATGGTGATCCATCTCTGCCAACCTCAACACCCTGCTCTTTGCCGGATGGGTGGAGTGAGGAGAGGGATCTGGGATGGGCTTGCACTTTGTCGGGAGCCTTTGCGCTTCTGGGCTGGGAGAAACAGAGAAGGGCCCACTCAGGGGTTCCAGTTCCAGTTCATGTCACCCACCACCCCGAGCGCCACCCAGGACGGGGCAGGCCTCATTCACTCCTTGCTCCCTCCCTCCCTCCCTTCATTCATTCACTCAGCAAACCATCCGTGGGCGTTTATTTTGTGCCGCACACTGTGCATGGCCCTCAGCTAAAAGATGACTAAGACCTTGTCTTCCTTCGAGGACTTCCCAGACTGTGCCCGCCCTCCTGGGGGCCCTACCTGCAGTATCCCCCAAACTCCACCCAGTGACCCGCCCTTACTAGAGGGTGTTAGCGGCCCAGCCAGCCAGCCTGCCGCTCTTGCCGGACACACCGTGCACAGGAGGGCCCTGGGCTTATTCTCCCCAGGAGGACGCCAGACAAGAACGGGCACCTGGCAGAGCTATGTGGCCGGTTTCTCTCCTGTCACTCGCTGACCCCAGCACAGTTATTTCAGTGACTGGTCACACTTGTTTCACATCGTGTTGGGGTGACAGGAGACGGGTCTGCCCTGTGGAAGCTCAAGTGGTCTCCTTTCCTGTCTGTAAACTCCTTTTGTTTGATCACCGTGTTTGGAGAGTGGGTGGGTGGGTGAGTGAGTGAGTGGACAGGTGAGTGAGTGGGTAGGTAAGTGAGTGGGTAGGTGGGTGAGTGGAATAAGTGCCCGTGGGTCTCATCCACCCCATGAGCCCCTTTCTACTCAGCTGGCTGAGGAGCAGCAAGCTGCCCCTCCTGCTCTCTTCCCACTGAGGTCCGCCCTGGACCCAGGCTGACCACATCTGGGGAGCAAGGTCCTTGAGCGGAGCAGGAGAAGTCGGAAGAGCATCTCAACCTAGCACACTCCTTCTTAATGATTCTGTCTGGAACTGAAGTCGCAGAATTCCCCGTGACACTCGCCGCCAAGCCAAGCCGAGGTTGGGGGGTCTTCCTACGTCCCAGAGCAGGCCGTCCACGACCAGTTTCTCCTGCTGCCTTTGCTCTGGGGCAAGTGTGGAAGCCCCAAGAGTGCCTGGGCCTGGGCCCTGGCCCTCTGCTGGCCCTGTGGCTCTGCTGGTCCGGGCGTGCCAGTCCCATCTGCTCCTGCTCCCTTTAGTAGATGTCAGCGCAAAGCAATGTGCCGGCCGCCATCAGCTCTTAATTTGGAAAGCCCGGGGCAGCCAGGCTGATGTTCGCACACGCGCTCTCTCGTGTGTGAGGCTCTGTGCAGGAGGGTGGGCAAGGATGCCCCGGGGTTTACACGGATTCCTTAATGACTTCCACTTTGTGGCATGTTTGAGTGAGCGCTAAGTGGACACATCATGAAGGGATCTTGTCTCATTGTAGCACATGTAGTCCGGGACCCAGCCCGAGCCTCCCCCTCAAAGGAGGGCTCTTCTGGAAAGCGTGGGAGGGGCCGGCCCCTCCCTGTTGGCCTCACGCTGGGCCTGTTTTGCTTTTGTGCCTCTTTCTCTCCCTTGTTGAACTGACTCCATCTTTAAGCTACAATTAAGGTTTCTTTTTTTAATTTGGGAGCTGGGATCAAGTCCCCATTCCGAGAACAGTTTGCAAGCCTGTGTTGCCCTCAGCCAGGGCCGGAGGGAGATGAGCTGAGGACTCTGGGAGAGGAGGTTGGGGGGGAGGGGCTCTGAGCTCCCTGGGGGATGCACAAGGTTAAGCTCTGGTCTGTAGCCGAAGGGTTGGTGGTTTGAACCCACTCAGAGGTACCATGGAAGAGAGGTCTGGCCGTCTGCTGTGGAAAGGTCACAGCCCCGGAAGTCCTCCGGAACGGTTCTGCTCTGCATGGGGGTGGGGGGTGGGGGTGCGGCAAATGAACTCCCCTGAAGCTGTCCACACAGGCAGGTGCCAGCTCAGTGGTGTGAGCCCACCATGCCTTTCTGGGAGTGTGAGGCCTCAGCCAGGTGTTCTAGAACTACGGGTGGCTTGGCCTCAAAGCACAGAAAGCCAACACTCTTAACCACCCTTATAACGCCCCCCCAAGTCTGAGCTCCTTTTGAACCGGGGAGAGAAGAGGTTCAGAGAGAGGCACGGTCAAATAGTGGGTGAATCGAAACTCAGCCCACTGCTTTCTGACTCCCCAAACACTCAAACAAGCCAGGGGTACCACTGACTGCCAGCTACCCAGCACCTGCCTCTTGCGAGCTGGCCCGGTACTGTTCACCCGGGCTTCCATGTCTGCCCCGCACCACACCACACTGGGAAGGGCCTCTGCTGAGGACGGGTGGGCTCCTGGAAGGTCCATAGAACTAGCCAGGGGATTCACAGATAGAGGGCTGCAACGGGCCTGGAACCAGCCTTGTCCAAAGGTCATACTCTTTCCCCCTGTTCCTCCCCTGCCTTCCTGCCAGGCCTCACTGTGTGAAGTGCACACTCCGGTTCAGCTTGGTCCTGCTGAACCTCTGCCAAGTGGTTGGGAAAAGAAAGGGGTCAGGGAACCACAGTCCCGGGTGGCATCTACCAGGGCTGGCAGGCTCCAAGAAGTCTCTGACCTATGGCCACTCCCAACCCGTGCCATTTCATGCTCACACCCACTGCCGTGTCCCCACATTCCCAGCCCCCTGGGGGCCTCTGGGCTAAAGTGAGCCTGCTGCCCCAGCCATCCGTGGAGGGAGGACGTGTGGACAAGGGACTAGAGAACACTGAACAAGCTCAGGGCCCGTGGTGGTCTCCCTTTTCTGGAGGATGCTCGGCAGCATGCAGGCCTCTCTGGGAGCCCTGTTTGGGTAAACAGAGGCCATCTGGGACCGAGTGGGCTTCCAGGAGCTGGGGAGGGAGGGATAACAATCCTCATAGCAGCAGCTAATTCTCACTGAGTGAGAACCAGGTGTCAGCACTGTGTGCCGTCCGGGGGACTCGTCCTCACTGGGGCAGAGATGAACCGCCCTGCAGGGTCTGTCGATCTGTCTCTCTGGAGGGGGGGCAGGGGGAGTGGAGATTGCTGGGTCTCGCCTCCTGTTCAGCCCGTTGCCCCTTCCCCACCAGGGCCTCCTGCCCCGTCCTGCAGGCCTTGACTCCTCCAACAACCAGGGGAGGCCTGAGACGTAATGCCCCCTCGATTTTCCTCCCACTTTTGCCACTCGCTCGCTCGCGGTGCAGTTTGGGGCGGGTTCCTTAATTTCTCTGTGGCTCCGTCTCCTTAGTTGTAAAATCATTGGGGAGCTGCTGGCACCCTCCTTGGGGATGAAGCCCCCCTGCCCCCCCTTACAAATTTCGAGCTCAGAAGAGACTGTGACTCTCAAGGATTGCTTTATAGCTGTTTGGCTACCTGGTCT